CCCGCGGGGGCCTCCTCGCCGCTCCTGGGGCTCAAGGGCCGCGCCCCCAGCTTGCGGCCGCCCGCGAGGAGCTTGATGACGAACTGCTCGCGCGCGGGCCCCGCCGAGCAGGTGTAGACGCCGGCGTCCGAGGGCTGGAGGCGGTGGATCTTCAGGTAGCCGAAGGGGGCCACGGTGACGTGGGCGGAGCTGGCCAGGTGCCGGCCGTCCTTCTCCCAGGTGATGAGCTGCTTGCGGAACCTGCGCGCGGGGCAGCGCAGCACCACCGCCGTCTTGGGGAGCAGGTAGGCGGACCCCCCCACCACGAAGTGCAGCTTCCTCTGCCTGCGGGTCTGGATGTAGACCTTGCGCGCGGCCGCGATGTGGGGGCTGTGCTTGGTGGACGGCCGCCCGGGCCCTGGGGCGAGGGGAGGCGGGGGGCGGGGGGGGAGGCGAGAGTCCCGTGAGTCCAGTGAGATGTGGCCACGGGAGGCGGGAGCAGGAAGGGGCCAGGAGAGGTGGGGGCGAGGAACAAGAGGGAAAGGCTCTGCGGGGTTCGTTTTGGCCAGGGCCCCGCTTTCCCGCCTGGGACAGACGGGAGGGCCTGGCTCCCAGCTGCGGACCATCACGCCGCCCGTGCGATCCAGACTGGAGGGCTATGAGTGCGGTGGACAGCCCACTCCCACCCTGCTGGGTCCTTCTGCCCCCAGAAGGTGAGATGCAGGGTTCTTGCTGGAGCCCAGCGGAAAGGCAGCTCCTCTCATTAAACGCATTTCAAAAAAGAAGCCAGCATCATAAAATGAGGCAGAGGACCAAGAGAAGGAGAATGTCCTCCTTTAAATGGTTACCTCTGGGTTCCTGCAAGCCACCAGAGCCCTGAAGTACACAGTGAGGAGAGCCCAGAAGTGTTACAGCTCGAAGGATTAATGCCGCACAGAACAAATCTGTTTAGCGGGGTTTAAAACCCCAGAGTGGATAACATTCGATTCACTAGTGGTGTGCTGCCTCCAGATCCCAGTATGCCAGCGAGTGAACTTTGCTCTAGCCCCTGCAAACTGTTTTTCCAGGGGAGAAGAGAATTCAGCCTGGCCTGGTGTAATTAGGATTCCTTTTCCGTCTCCAGCTGAGCCCTCCCGCCCGCGGCCCTCCACGGGGTTCAGTATCCCACCGTCTCCTGCCAGCCTTGGTGTTGGGGAAAGCCGCAGTGTGGTGGCTATGGCTGCTGCCGTGTGGGCTTCGTCCCATCCCCCGAGCCCTGACATACTCACGTGCGCAGGTTGCCAGCATGCAGGGCCTGATGGAAGAAGAGAAAGGCAGGGGCGGGCACAGGGTGGAATTGACGACAGTCGAGATTCCTGTCTTCAGCACCTTCCGGCAAATAGCGCTCCGCGTCTGGGTGCCCTCGCCGCAGCTCGTGGAACACTGGTGGGGAAGAAAGAACAAATGCGTGCACGTTCAGGGAACGAGAGCCTAGCGAGTTTTTAAAACGGACTCTCAAACTCATCGAACTTTCTGTAAATAGGAGAAAAGCAGCAGACACCGAGAGAGACAGAGAGAGAGACTGATTATGATGTGATAACGTGGAAGACAAGCTCATCCTGCAGCCACATTGAACCCTCAGATTTTCTTTGAGGTCTCCTGTTGATATTTTACCTGTTTTCACTTAGATGGTCTAGATTTTTTTTTTACGGTTATAGAGTGCTGTGTTCAGATCCCAGCTCAGAGTTTCTCTAGTTGGCAAATTATTTAAACTCTCTGTTTCCACTTGTTATGCTTATTTTGCAAGCCTGGGAATTGAGACAATGTATATTAAATACCATACACAAAATGACAATACTAATTCCTAATTCATTTCTCTTTCATGAATAAATGATATTGTTAAAGTCAAGCATTAAGTAGCACTGTTTTGAAGTGCTAGATATTGTTTTTGGTTTTTTTTGAGTCGGAGTCTCACTCTGTTGCCCAGATGGAGTGCAGTGGTATGCTCATGGCCACAGAAGCCTCGACCTGTGAGGCTCAGGTGATCCTTCTACCCCAGCCTTCCAAGTAGCTGGAACTGTAGCCATGTACCACCACGCCCGACTAATTTTTCTTGATTTGTTAGAGACACAGTCTCACCAAATTGCCCAGGCTGATCTCAAATCCCTGGGCTCAGGCAATCCTCTTGCCTCAGCTTCCCAAAGTGCTGGGATTACTGGCGGGGGGCTACCATGCCTGGCCTGAGGTTCTAGATATTATGAAGAAAAGATATGCAAGATAGTTCCTCACCTCAAGCAATTGTCATTCAGGTGAGGGGAAAAATACAAATGCATTGTTAAACTGAAATAGTATAGTAGGAAAATATAAGTCAAAATCACAATGAGGTACCACCTCGTATCCACTAGAATGGCCGTAACTAAAGAGACAGACAATAACAAGTGCTGGTGAGGTTGTGAAAAAACTAGGAGTCTCATTTATTGCTGATGGGAATGTAAAATGATACAGCCCCCATAGGAAACAGCTCCCCTTAGATAATTTCTTAAAAAGTTAAACATAAATTTACCATATGACCCAGCAATTTAATTCCTAGGTATCTACACAAGAAAAACAAAAACATACATCCACACAAAGACTTGTATGTGGATGTTCATAGCAGCATTATTTATAATAGTCACAAAGCAGAAACAACCCAGTGCCCATCAGTTGGTGAATGAATAAAAAAATATGGTATATCTGCATGAGGGGATATTATTTAGCCATAAGAAGGAATGATGGAGTTTTTGTATGTGCTACAACATGGATAGACCTTAAAAACATGATAGGTTGGAGTTTATAATGTGTAATGTATACCTCAATAAAGCTGTCTACAGAATTAAACAGTAATGCAAAATTTAGCAAAAAATATAAAATTGGAAGACAAGTATCATAAAATGATGCTAACAATTATTGAATGCTTATGGTACACTAGGGATTTCCTCACCTAGGACTTGAAGACGGGTGGAGCTGGGTGGATGTAGAGAAACAAGGATAAGATGGGAGGCAGAGAAATTTCCAGAACGAAGATAGAAGTGTTCAGTATGGAAGTCCAGAAATGGACTTGGGGGCAGAACTAAACCAGTTTAACTAGACAGAGGGCCTGCGTCCAGCGTGTTAGGAGCTGGAGAGGGAGTTCGGGGCCAGACTTTGGAGACCTTTAGCTTTAAGACAGGAGGTTTGGAAATGGTCCACAGGTAATGGGAAGCTGCTGAAGAGGGGACTGACATGATGAAAGAGGTGTTTTGAGAAGGTTAATCTGGCAACAGTGTATGGAAGGGATGGGCGTAGGAGATGAATGGGAGGCAGGGACGTCAGTGAAGGACACTGCCGCAGTAGTCCAGGCTTGAGATGATAAAGGCCTGAACTAGGGTCATGGCAGTGTGCCATGCTAACTTGAAAGACGCATGTTAAAAAAAACCCAAATTATCTCATATTTTCAAGTTTTATATGCCAACACATTGAAATGACACTCTTCCGTGTGACGTGCAGGGATATAATCCACCCTGAAAGAAATGTAAGATGCAAAAGATGGGGATGAGAATTGAACCCACTGCTTTTATTGCCTGACAGTTGGAGGTTCCAGATTCCATCCATCGCGGATTGTAAATCACCAGCACCAAATCCAAAGATCCTGTGGGGAGGGGGTAAGAAACCTGAAAAATGTTAAAGCACAGTCATTTTAGGCTGCTAAGTAGGAACATAAAAAGGTAGTTCGACTACAGGCCAGAAGACCGGGTTATGACTTTGGCCAAGTCTAGTTATTTCTTCAGTTCCGCATTTCTGGATGAGGGAAGCTAAGGGATTTTCAAACTGTGTTCCACGACAATGTTGAGGAGGTGATTCAGGGTCTTCTTGGGTGACAGGAAGACCCAACCACTGGAGATCAGTTAAACAAAATATCTCTGATTCGATCCGTTTTAGATGTTTGGCACAGCCACATTTCATTTGATAAAGATATCTGTGGCCTTAATTTTTTAAAGAAGCAATTAAACTATAGAATCTTTTGAGCTCCTTCTGGCTCTAAAATGGACTACTCTGATTTTAATTTTATTTTTTTGGGGGGGGAGGGAGGAACTTCCATAAAAATATGATTTAAAATATTTAATATCCAACTCTTTCAGGAGATTGAAGAATTGCTTTTTAAAGAAGTATGGTCTTTTGCGAGGTCTTACTTCCAGAATAGAATCTGCAAGTAATTTTATTTGAAATGTCTAAAGCTTTGGCTTAATTCTGTCTCTACGGGATTCTGTGCAGTAACTAGAAGATTGAGCCCAGATAGCCGAGGATGAAAAATACCCATAGATCATCTCGGTCTTCCTTTCTCCAAGGGGAGTCTTGGGAGGGCGTGTGGAATGCACATCTTTAGTCTTATCTCAGCCGGAGGGCCAGGGGAATGGTTGTCAGGATGACAGAGGCAACGTAGAGGCTTTGTGTACACCTCCAGAAGCACTTCAACCTGGCACTGGTTTGAATTTAATCCCAGTGATTCGGCGATAACCTCCTGCCATTCTCAGTCTCTCCCCAGTGCTTACAATTTCCATTCATCAACCCACATAGTTCAGAACCTAGTAACATTTCTTGGATAAGGGCTAACGAGTCCTGGCTCCCAAAATGTAATCTTCCTCTTCCTAGGAAGACCAGGAAAGCCTGTGGGAGACCTAGGCAGTGGCCCCAGGTCCAGGCAGTCAAGGTGAGTGCTTCCTGTGGTCTTAATTTTTTTTTTAAAGTAATTAAACTACAGGATCTTTCAAGCTCCTTCTGGCTCTAAAACTGACTACTCTGACTTTAATTTCTTTTGTATTGTTGGGGGGGAGGGAGGAACGTCCATAAAAATATGAGTTAAAAATATTTAGCCTCAGCCTCCCAAGTCGCTGGAACTGCAGGCACGCACGCACCACCACCACCACCACCAACAACAACAAAAAATTTAATATTCAGTCAAGGTGGGTACTTTCTTTGATTTCCTTTCCGTCTCATGACAGGGAACAAGAATAGAACAGGATCATAGGCTTAGCTTTTACTAGGCACAAAGTACTTTGCATGCATCTATATTAAATATATTTAATTTAAGCTTCCCATCTATATGGTGGATGCTATTATGTCTCCATTTTACAGATAAGCAACCTAAGGCCTAGAAAGGTTAAATCATTAGCCCAGGGTTATACAGCCAGTAAGTGGCAGAGTCAGGATTCGAGCCTACGCTTGCCTGTCTTTGAGCCTGAACTCTCAGCTGTACATGATACTGTTCCGAAGGCCTACTTTACTTAATGGTATTGACGGGACTCAGTTGAGTAGTCTCTTTTCTAGTCCCTAATCTCAAGGGCCCTCCATCAAATCTGCAGACAGAAAAGAACTTTTTCTGAATCCTCTGTGTCCCATATGCTCCAGAGGCCACAAACTCCGGGAATATGGGAGAACAATTATAATACACACAAGTCCCTTCCTCAGCAGCCCACCCATGACCGACTATCACCTGACAGACTTAGGGAGTAGGTCCTTTTGCAATACTCCCCTGGGAGGATGTTTTCAGCCAGAGCCACTTAAACACATCTGTGCTCTTTCCTGCACTGCTGTCTTGTTATGGTTTTTCATATATAATGCCATACTGCCAAATCAACATGCCCATGGAAAAAAAATCTCACTAATGAATGTGCTGTGTACACACACACACACACACACACACACACACACACACACACTTGAATATGCACATACTCATTCTATGCACTTTTAATTCTTTCAACTTTTTTTCCCTAAAATATGAAAAAACAATAATTCCCCAAATGTTCTGAGATATTTGGGGTGAGATATCACAAGAGGCAGTTTTAGTGTAAAATGATAAAGCCTATAGCAACGTGGGTGAACTCAACTGCAATGCCCTTTGAAGGTGCCATCTGGTGGAATTCTATATGGGTCGAAAATATATGGGGCATGAACTCGAAAAACCTTTGCTAAAAGAGCTAGCATCTTAATCGTCACAGGCAGCTTTGCCCTCTGTAAGCAAGTGTCTCCATGATGCATTTCAATCAGCAGCATCTGGTTAGACAAAAAAGACGATGTCAGGAAGACTGATCAAATGTTTAAATGCAAGTTGTAAAAAAAAGGAAGATCCTGAATCTGGTTCTGACACAGAAATTTTCACTTCGGATCTAATTATTCTGTTCTTGGCTAACTCTGCTTGTGAAGCAGTTATTTTGGGGGGACTTCTCTATGGAAGACACATAGGCCTCTGGAGCTGAGGAAGTAAAATGTAACTCCAAAAAGCGGTAGGGAAACAAGTGAGTTGAAGCTGGGTGTCAGTGAATTAATTTATGTGAGTGTTAGAATAGGAATTATGTCCAAAGATAGATTAGCTGGAGGAATATCCCTCACTTTTCAGGTAGAGTCGGGAATGGTGACTGCTGATGCAATCCCTTCCCCAAATGCAGGACAACAGGGAAATCAAATTCTCTTGCTGGGAGGTTTTAGAGCCAGGAAACTAACAATAAGGAGGCAGGGCTTCCTTGGCCTTCTTTTCCTCATAAATCATGTCCTTTGTTGTCCAGTCACTTGGAAGAGAAGAACTAGAGAGGTTTTGCCCTTCTTGAGTAAAGGTTAGAAACATCTGGGAGTAGGAGTTGCAGGGAGGTTGGGAGGAGTGAGTGGTATGGAGATAGAGGGAGAAGAATCTCATGTTCTGAAAAGAATCCTGGCCAACACAACACCAAGGAGGCCTGGTTTTGTTTCACAAGGAACACGTTTGTGATTCCAAGCTTCTGAGTGTTGGGCTGTGTAATTCAGGTCCCTGCAACCTGGTTAAAAGCTAGTAACACACTGTGGCATAAATGGTTATAAGAATACTGTTCCACAATGTTAGGCTTGTTTTGTTCTCTTCTTGCCTTTTCTGTGTCTATATCTGGGATGCCTTCCTTTCCTACTTAGGCCTTTTAAATTCTTTCCTTCTGAGGAACATACACACCTCTGTCCACTCCGAGAGAAGCCACTCGCTGGGGCAGTCATCTTTCTTGCAGGCTTGCTGAGAGGCCGGTTTCGAGGCTGAGCAGAAGGTCTCGGGAAGCTCCAGAAAGCTGCCGTCAGCCATGCGCTGCTTGCAGAGAACCTCACGTTTCTGGACACCCCCACCGCAGGTCCTGGAACACTGGGGAAGAAAGGAAGAAAGCCGTCTGTTTGGTCACCAATTCTTACCTTAGCTTGGTAAAGAAAAAATTAAAAAGCAAAACACAACAAAAAAACAGACAAGAGGAAAAAACAGGAATCAACCCAAATGATTGTGTTTCCTCTCTTTGAATGAATTTTGTAGCAAGATCTATTCCCTTCACTCTTAATCCCAGCTATTTAACTGGAGCATCCAGGAATTTCTGGGGCCTTTAAATCTTAGAAAGTTCCTCCTGCTGTATGATTTGCAGCCTTCCAAGACAACTGGTTTAAAAGGTTAGTATAATAAAGTGTTCAACATTTTTACGATCCAGTGAAAATAATCTGTGCTGCTTCCAGAACGAACAAGGGAAAGCTTTTGCCATTAGTATAAATCTGGAGAAGTTAATTTGCGGGGAAGACAATCTCTTTCCCTAAGTGTAGGCACTCACTCTACCATACTGGACGGGCATTAGATTTAGGGCCTGGTTTTCCGAAGACCTCCCTTGGAATACTTTTCTTATAGGATTGATGAGTTCTTAGGGCAGTGGGAGCCAGAGCTGCTGAAATTTGGGATGTAAGAAAAATAGCTTAATGTCAGTGGTTTTCATAGGAGCCCCAATAAAACATATTGTTTACGTGTAACTTAATATTTATGGTTTTAATCCAGCTGCTTGAGATGGAAGGACACTCCCGAGGCACAGACTGTTAGCTGTTTCCAAATATTTGTCCCATCCTTTTCAGAGCAAAAGAGCCCTCAATTTTTAGCTGGGCACATGACTTCTCAGCATAAAGACTATAGCTGCTAACTTCCCTTGATGGAAGACACGGCCATTTGGCCAAGTACTGGCCAATGGAATATAAACAGAGGGGTTTATGTATACTTTTAGGTACCTGTAAGGGGGGGGGGTCATCTTTTCTCCTCCCTATCTCCTCCTGGCTGGCTAGAATGTGAATGTGATGTTTGAAATGGAAGGGTCCAGCTTGGACTTTGATATGCAAAAAAAACCAAAGAAGCCTGACTTCGTGACCATACCTGCCCAGGACTGCCCATGTTAATGTGAGAAAGACTCTTCTGTCTTATTTAAACCATTGTGATCTTGCATTTTCTATCACTTTCAGTCAGATATAACCCTAACTGATACATCAACCTATGGCTAGTCTGTTCTGGGGATATTGTCTGATTCAGGGGGTGTTCTGTTTTCTTCAGGAATAGTCTCATCTTTCACTTGCCACCCTTGGACTTGCTGAGAAGTCAGGCCTGGGCTTAGGTAGCTTGCTGAAGGGGTGCCCCTTTCAGAACTCACAGTGGCCTGTGGTTCAGTAGGTCGTACTCAGAATTGCAATGGGGATTTTTGTCCACAGTCAAGGTTATGATGGTGATAACAGGGTCCTTGGGTACAGACAGAACACTGCTGTGGCCCAGATTTCACCTTTCTACTCAACAGTCTCAACCCTGGATGCATGTCAAGGTCACCTGAGAGTTTTCATTTATTATTATTTTATTTGTGCTTATTTTTCTTTTTTATTTCAGTAACTTTAGTGGGGGGTACAAATAGTTTTTGGTGACATAATTGCATTGTATAGTGGCAAAGAAGTCTGGGCTTTAAGTGTACCCACTACTCCCACCTGTGCACATTGTACCTGACAGGTGATTTTTCATCCCTCCTCCCCTTTCCACCCTCCCCCTTCTGAGTCTCCAGTGTCTGTTATACCCGTCTCTATGCCTTTGCAGATCTTTAGTTTAGCTCCTACATGTAAGTGAGAACATGTGGTGTTTGGCTTTCTGTTCCTGCATTACTTCACTTAGGATGATGTTCTCCAATTCCATCCACATCACTGCAAAAGACATTATTTCTCTCCTTTTTTTATGGCTGAATAGTATTCCATGACATACAGAGGGCGCCAAAAAATGTATACACATTTTAAGAAAGGAAAAAGCTGTATAAACTGTATTAAAATTGTAATACTCAATATATACTGATAACAAAAGAACAGTACAAGACACATTTGCCTTTGCAATTTCAAGAGGTGCTCAAAGTGGTTACCATTAGCATCTAGACACTAAAAGTAATATGTAGATAGCATTGCTTAAATGTGTACACTTTTTTTGGCACCCTCAGTATTTATACCACATTTTCATTATCCATTGAACAGTTGATAGGCATTTAGGGTAATTCCATATCCTTGCAATTGTGAATTGTGCTGCAATGAACATGTGCATGCGGGTGTCTTTTTTATATTGCTGTTCCTTAGAGTAGATACCTAGTATTAGGATTGCTGGATCAAATGGTAGATGCAGTTTTAGTTCCTTGAGAAATCTCCATACCGCTTGCCAGAGGCTGTACTAATTTACACTCCCACCAACAGTATATGAGCATGTCCTTTCCACTGTATCCACGCCATGTATTGTGTTTTTGATTTTTTAAATAATGGCCATTCTCACTGGTAGCTTCTCACTGTGGTTTTAATTTGCATTGCCCTGATGATAAGTGATGTTGAGCACTTTTTCACATGTTTGTTGGTCATTTTTGTGTGTTCTTTTGAGAGATCTGTGTTCTTGTCATTTGCTCACTTTTTAATGGGGCTATTTGCTTTTTTTCTTGCTGATTTGTTTGAATTCTTTGTAGATTTTGGATATTAGTCCTTTGTCAGATGCATAGCTTGCAAATATATTATTCTGTAGGTTGCCTCTTTACTCTTTTTTTTTTGTTTTTTGCTGTGTAGAAGCTTTTTAGTTTAAGTCTCACTTATTTATTTCTGTTTTTGTTGCATTTGCGTTTGGGGTTTTAGTCATACATTCTTCGCCTAGGCCGATGTCCAGAAGAGTTTTTCCTAAGTTTTCTTCTAGAAATCTTATGGTTTCAAGTCTGACATTTAAGTCTTTAATTCATCTTGAGTTAATTTTTGCATATGGTGAGAGATAGGGGTCAAGTTTCATTTTTTTGCATGTAGCTATCCAATTTTCCCAGCACCATTTGTTGAATAGGGTGTCCTTTCCCGGGGAGATTTAAAAAATTACTTCAGATCCATGAAATTAGACATTCTGGGAGGTGGGTCCCAGGTGTGTGTGTGTGTGTGTGTGTGTGTGTGTGTGTGTGTGTGTGTGCGCGCGTGTGTGTGTGTTTTAAGGACTTCTCAGATAATCTTCTCCCAGATAATTCTATTGTGTATTTAGGGCTGAGAACCACTTCTCCACACTAATGTTCTTTCACCATTCCTGATGGAAAGAAAATAAATGTGGAAAGGAAAATCTGGGACCCAGAGGGGCCTCCACAGGGCCAGTGGTTGCCTGGACCCCACTCAAGCAAATATGCCATTTGTTTGCAGCTGTGAGTGACTTGAGGTCACAGAGCTGGTGGATAATGATGTCAGAAAAGTTATCTACTGTCTAGTTAGTCCTTTTAAACCTCAAGTCTTTCAAATGATCCAAAATGATAGTGAACAATTTTTTTTTTTGGATTTAAAATTTAAAAAAATTTGAAATCAAACTTACTGAGTCTCCTAGGGGGAGAAATGTATTTTCTTATGGCTGGGATCAACTACTTACCCACTGAAGGCTAACAGAAGAGGAGAAGCCACCTTATGTGGTCGGTCTTACCCCCACTTGCAGCAAAAGAAGCTGAGGCTCAGAGAGGTAAAGCAACCCAACTAAGGCCACACAGTGGCCAGAATTGGTTTATTTCCATTCACTATAACATTCACCGAGCTCCTATGCAATACTATGTTCTGGACGCAGCTGAAGAACAAGCCAAACTCAGCTTTTCTCCTGTGTGGTTGTAGCATCTCCTCTCTGCTTGCAGAACCCATGGAGAGTAGTCTGACTGCTGCTTCCTGCCCCACCCTTGATAAGGACCTTGATAAGGACCAAGTGGGCTGAGAGCCTCATCTCCTCCTCTCATCCACCTGGAGAAGTGAAGCTTTGCAGTTCAGTTCTAAGCCTCCATTCTTGTGACCATCCCTGACTGGCAGGAGCCAGCCCATAACCCAGGATGGGGACCGGAATTCTAAAATAGTTCATCTACATTCTGGTGAACCTGGAAACCTATTCTCTTTAAGTTCTTTGATTTCTGAGTCGAGAGGCTACATTTGAACATAGCTCCTAGGCTAAGTCATGAGGCTGGACCACCTGCCACTCATGACAGACCCAAACAGTTCCTTCTAAGGGCTTTTCTAGTGGTCTTTTGGCCTTAGGAAAAACTTCTATGGTCTCAGAGTTAATGATTCAAGTGAGTGGCCCAGACCTTTGACTTCTTTGTGGCTCATTTCAGTGACTCCCTGGACTTTGCATTTCTTAGAGAAGCACATTTTTATTTTAGTTCTTATTAAGTGGCAATTCAATAAGCTATTAAAATGTTTTACTTATTTAACTCATTTTGTACCCAGTCTGCCCAGAACAGTGCCTCTGTAAGCCCTCAATAAATGTCTGTGGCATGGCATTAAAGTTGGTACTTGGGAGAAATTTAAATACGTGGCTAACAATGCCACATACCTAGAATAACCTTCTTGTTACTTTGGATAACTAAGGTTTTACATTTGATTTTATGGTCTTTTGCATGATTTTTTTAGGTTCAAACTTCTCTTACTTCTGTCAAATTCTCACTCCAAACTAATCAGTTATGCTATCATCAGATTAGTTATAAAGTTTTATTGTTGATTCTTCCGTCAAAACTCTTTTATAGCTAGATAATTAACCGTGTGGATCACTGACTCCTAAGGACTTGCCAGACTTAGGGACTGTGTTCTCCATAATATTTTCCAATCTGTGAATTACTAAGATTCTTCCATGAATTTAATTCTGAAACCACAATTGTCTGAAAAAAACAAGTTTGTGCTGATAAACAAAAATTTGTATTTTAAGCTCTGACCTTTCCTCTGTGTGTACACTTAAATGTAAATAGACATCTTGATTTACATTTATCGAAAACGGAACTTTTGAGACTGCTCCTCCAACCTCATCCCAAATCGACTCCTGTCTCAGTCTTTCCATTCATTTAATGATGC